GATATTTGCCACACTCAGAAGGAATACAGGTGTTTCCCAAATTTTTCACTAATACATAGATTTTTTTTTTTGCTGCGAGTCAGCTGAGATGATTAATTCCACATGTCAGGAAACAGTTTGCTTAGCTTAGCACAAAGACTGGAAACAGGGCGAAACGGCAAGCATGGCTGCTTTGAAAGCTTGTCAAAATGTACAACTCATCTTTAATTCTTCCTTCATTTATTATAAAGCAAAAAAGAAGCACACTATTGTGCTAACATGTTAGCTTTAGGGGCACCATATTGAACATACAGGCATAAGAGTGGTAGTATTCTTCTCATTAAACTCATTAAAATGATGAACTGTTCCTTTATTTCTTTTCCTCACTGTCATCCGGTTGCATTGAGTTAAAGAATGAATGGAAGAACAAACTGCAAATTCACACAGATGCCTTTTAATTGCATTTTATAAATTTCATGTTGTTGGTGGACCATTTATTCGGAGCAGTAATTGTAGTTCAAGACGGGTAGTACAAGATCAATAAGATGACAAACCTGCACGCTGCACGTTGCCGCTTTTTATCACAGTAATGGAAGACAAGGCCTCGTATATGTTGAAGTTTAGTTTGACAACTGTGTTGCAGTTATTTTCAGGTTGCTCAGCCGGATCAGAGCCGCAGCAGTCCAGATGGGAGACAAAGAGTGTTTGTACAAGCAACTGGGCTTGAGTCAGCAGATTTTACACCCAGCAAGTCTGCGATAGGAGCCGTAGCAGTTGGTTGTCGGAAGATCAAACTAAACGTCGGTCTGGGGAAGGAGCAACTGCGCGGCTTGTCACTGTGATTGACGGCGCTTGTTAAGGGCAGGATTTCTGAGGGGAGAACAGCGGCTCAGTCTTGTCAAGGTCAATAGGGAGGTGTTTGGCAGGAATCCAATTGGAGATTTCAGCTTGAAAATTGAAGATATGCAACCCAACCTGTGTGTCAGAGCTGGGAATCAAAAGGTCACTTAAGTGTCATCGCAATGATAGGAGGAATTATGGGATGCGGTGACAGAGCCAAGAGGTTTAGCGCAGAAAGAGGAGACGGTTTGGGCGTCTCGGACCTCCTTGGAGAGGAAGACTCTTTTCGGGATACCTGTAGCAGACCGTAGGTGCTGTCTGACTCCCCAAGAAGTGACGCTTTCAACTGTAAGTCTTGCTTTGAGTGCTTCTTCTTAAAAAGCCTTGTTATCTCCGTTTTATTTAGAAAAACAACAATATAATAACCTGCAATTTAAGAAAGAGCAATTACATAAGTTAAACAACACGCTTCACTGCACAATCTCTGCTTGTGCTGTCTCTCCCTGCCATAAATCACCACCGTCGTTACGATCATTACAACCCCGTCTCCACAAAATGACATCCCGATGTAACTAAAGTGCATTTACATTTTGCATGAAGCATATTTTCTCCCAGAAAGGTAGCAGGGTCACGTAGTAGGAATTAGGAGACTGGAGGGGTGATGGTGGCACGAGTCTGACACCGAATCTTCAACCAGGAGACAATTATTTTCAGATTTTTGAATGTGATGTTTGAAGCTTGTCCTCCATTTTTAGATTCCCTGGGTTACCATAATAAGTCCTGCCCTGTCAAATATGAGAATAGTTGACTTTAACATTTGTTTTT